ATTTGATTGGCTACTCCACTCTTACCATACATGCTTGCAAATGAGTGAAGTTACTTGCCGAACCAGAAGTGCGTTTTCTTACGCAAATAAACTAGTGTACGATCATCTAATGTTGAATTATGTTTGGGCTTTTGCTATTGTATATTGTGTGTATGTAACGTTCATGTCATGGGAGATGTAATAACCTTAGCTAGACTCGAGGCTGATCCAGCCTTCTTTTGTTCAGTAGCTCGTTCTGCACTCCACGTCATAGGGAGTTTCATCGGGTTCGCGCTACGGTGGGCCGATGACTTTTTTGCAAAATTCAACAGTCTTCCCTACACAGCAATCCTTCTTCGGTCTCCGGTGAGGCCACCTCATGAATTCCTTCCATCCAACTTTCCCTTCCAAATGGAAAGTCATGTCCCAAATGCACCTAAGTTAGCAAGGCACACCTTAGTGGACGCATGAGGGTGTGAAAATACGCCATTAGCATCGGTTATTAGGACATCTCAGTAGCTACACTTGTACTACATTGCTCTTTTGAAGAAAATGCATCTTTTCAAGTATTTTTCTTTTAAGACACAAGGTATCAACTGTGTTGTCTATTTTATTCCGTTTTAGGTATTTGATCTTGTGAAAAAGCACAAAGAAAGAAATCGTTTATTTACTATTGGTATTGGAGAGGGTGTTAGCACTGGTCTGGTATCAGGGCTTGCTCGTGTGGGAGACGGAAAAGCCTACTTTGTTCGGGACAGGTAAGTTACTAGTTACTCTTGCCTAAGCCAATACTTTAATGATATTTTCAAATATATTTTGCACTAATGTCTGTTTATTTACTTGTTTATATCGCCACTCTATTCGAGACATGATATTTCTACCTGGTCACGTTTGAATAAAGCAAACAAGATGAGATGTATTTACCCTATTTCGTTTAAGGTGATAAAGGACTGATAGTACAATTTTCCCACAATGATATCAGTGGAACTGACGTTTTTTATTGAATTTCACATAGTCCTGCTTGCCCAAAAGTTGTTCTCATCCAGGGTGGACCGTAGTCTCCACCTCGCATAGGTTTTATCAACACCACAAGTAGGAGTCGAACCGTGACAGTGCAGCATGTGGGCTTGACACGTTAGTCACTCGGCTACATTGCCAAAGGACCGATGTGAATTTCATCACCTTAAACTAAATAGGGTGAATACATCACATATAACAAATAGAATAATTTTTCGGCAGAAAGTTGGTCAAGG